TTTTTCTGAAATAAGTGCAATGTAATTGGCACATCAAGTTCCAAATCCAGTCCAGAGCAGAAGATAAGCTGTTTTTCCTGGCTGTATAACCCAAACTGATGGGCTGGAGTTCTACAGTATTTTCCAAAATGCAACGGAAACTTTCTTTTATATCTTAGGACGGCCTCCTAAAGGAAAACAAATACTTAATCCAGAAACATAAACCTGAGAATAAAATTCACCCTCAGTATCCAACAAATCTACAATTGATGTAGTGGCGAAAGCAGGATATTCATGGATGGCTAGCATATGTACCATAAGTATATCGAGTGTTATACTTTAGGAATTTGAAATGCGGAAAGTAATCCAGAACAATGAAACAAATATCAAGATATAATTATGAAGTAACCAAGAAAGAAACAAACAAACATGAGTATCAGAAACATTACTCTGGAGCATGATAACCAAAAGTCCCCAAGACTCGAGTAGAATGAAGGCGGGCAGCCATATCAGGAGCCTGATTTGAGAGATTAAAATCTGCAATTTTGGCTTTGAAGTCTTCAAACAGCAGCACATTGCTGGATCGGATATCTCTGTGTATTACTGCAGGTTGAACCTTCTCATGCAGGTATTCCAAACCCCTAGCTGCATCAACAGCAATTCTCACCCGCTGCATCCAGTCAAGAGTTGGACCTGGTTGTGCCCCTTGAACTCCCTTTCTACCTGTTATGATTAGAAGCCAGTATTAATTAATTAAATTTCATAAATGAATAACTATTTTCAAGGAAATATGATCAGCAATTAAGAATGATCCCTTCCCCACCCTTCTTCTGAAACCCAAAGATGGTAAGAATACAGGAGTTATGAACAAACAAGATAGCACTGGATACCATGCAAAATGTCATGCAGTGATCCCATCGTCGCAAACTCATACGCAAGCACACGGAGGTTTCCTTCAACACAGTAACCAAGCAACTCAACAAGATTTTCATGCTTCAGTCTTGAAACCATGGAAACCTAGGATAGACAAAAAAAAAGGATTAATAAAAAACTGTGAAACTGAAAAATCTTTGTACAAAGAAGTAAGTACCATTGACAATTACTTTTAAGTATTCAGGATGCATTAATATGCAAATCTTATTGAGGGCCAAAACATACCTGTGTCAAAAACTCAACATTTGACTCAGGCTCAGAAGAAACGTCAAGTTTTTTCACAGCCACAGCTCTTCATTGCTTAAGTTTGCGTAGTACACTCTTCCATAAGATCCTTCCCCCAATCAATGCTTTGATCCGAAATTGTCAGTCTTTTCTTTCAGCTCATCCAAGGACAATGCCGGCACTTCAATTGGTGGGATTGCCTTCTGCACCTCAGGTTTCGTAGGTATTGACACCTTTGAGCCTTTTTGATGTCCTACATATGCACAAAATCAGTCAGTAACAAATGTTGATAGAATACTATGATTAATAGAAGACAGATAAAACTTCCATTCAAAAATGAATGACATCTATCAATTCCTTAATGAAAATAAATATGTTTAGTAGACCAAGACATAAAGTTATCCCTAGGAGAAAGCCAATCACGGTTAGTAAGTAGAACAACAACAATTATCATACCACCATTTCCTTTCATATTAGTTTGGGAGATTGAAGTTAAATCTGCATACCATCGAATTGGTTCCCCGGGCTTTTGAGGTGCTCATGTTCATGTGACGGGTAAGACTCTTCTCCATGACAAGTACAACAGAGCCACCGGCGCATCTTTGATTTCTTATAACTTTTATAACTCAAGTATAGATCGTCGTCAGCCCTCGCTTTCTCCAGTCGTTCAAAGTAAACAGGGGTAGGTGCATGTGACTGCATGGTGCCATAAATATAATTAGTGTTGCTCCAGTCATAACCTAACAAATACCTGCCTGATAATTCCAAATGAAATTCAGATAATAAAATGCAACTGGGAACATGATGTCTAAGCTCCTGTGTCCAGGGCCTCAAAAAAGGCCCTTAAGCAAGTTTCCATGAAATAAATGATAAGTGTATGAAATGCTATGTAATTGTATCAATGTTTCAAAATAAGACTCATAGTTCAATTCCATCTCAGGGCTAAGAAGTTTTAAATTCTCCAGCTAAGAAGAAC